TGTTTGCATTCCATTCATACAGAATCTCCTTTCTTGAGGAAACACAATTTAAAATCTTTTGTCATTTGACGTTGATGTAATTCTGCTCATCTGAAGGGAATTTGTCTCCTAATAATTTCCTTCATCTTACTTTGCAGGTGGCAGTTATACCCTTGCTGTTTGCCAAATTCCTCTGCTTAAGTCATTTTTGCAACACTCTGCCCTTAAACCTTATCTCTGGCTTATATTGATTATTTACTTCATCAAATTCAAGATAACTTTCTAAAAACTTTACTTACATATCTTTGAACTCTTTGACTTATATAGCTTTAAATTTTCATCTATATTATTTACTGTCCATACACACACACACACATACACACACAAATAGACATATATCTTTTGTATATTTTGTTTCATTATTTTGTACTCTCTATTTCACTAATTTGCATTTCTCTCTCTCTCTCTCTCTCTCTCTATATATATATATATATATATATATATATATTAAAATTTTCTCTGTTTTCATGGAGAAGGGTGATCAGTATTTGAAAATAGAGCATTTGTAGAAATTATGGACATAAAAATCAACAATGCATGATGACTCTCAGTTTCATGTTACATGTCATCTTTAAATCCTGTCTTGATTTCTACATCCATGATCTATCTATCTCAATATATATACATATATATATATATATTGTATTTTTGCTTATAATATGATTTCCACCAGAAAATACACCGTCTACAAAAACATCTGTCAGTGAGTAATTTCCATTTCTCTGTTTTTTCTCACTCCATTGATAAAGGACATAGGCATGTCCAAAAATTCCAGACGTAAAACCTTTTTTCTGTGCTTCATTTCTGTCATACGGTTAATAATTAATATTTAATAAATATTCTTCATACTGATTATATTGGTAACATTTCATTTGTCATTTTATTAACCAACCAATCTATTTTACATATATATATATACATATATATATTAAGAAATGGACAAGGTCCAACAATTTATTTATTAAAGACATATTTTTATGTTTAACGTTGTTATTTTATAGAAACATAAAAATATGTCTTTAATAAATAAATTGTCGGACCTTGTCCATTTCTTAATATATGACGTCATTTGTTTACATTCGATACGCCAGAGCAGTTATGAATGTACGAGATTCATGGAAAGTTGGAGTTTATAAGCAGTAAATTCGACCTTGTCTACCGATTGGTTCTTTGTAGCTCAAGCGGTAAGGCACGTCAAAGCGTATATGACGGTTCCATTATAGGATGCAGGTTCAAATCCTGTCAAAGAACGAAAATTTTCTATGAAAATTTCTCGGACATTCAGGCGGTAAATGTTATTTAATACTGTTTATCATAAACAGAGCATTTGCTTAAATACTTGTATCTATAAAATAACAACGTTAAACATAAAAATATGTCTTTAATACATATATATATTGAGAGAGAGAGTGTATGGATATAGAAATCAACTGCATGGTGACTCAGTTTCATGTCACAGATCATCTTCAAATCATGACTTGAGTTCTATGTCCCCAAACTATCTATCTATCTATCTATCTATCTATATATATATATATATATATATATATATTGGGTTGTTATATTCTTTCTTCTATGTTCTGAAAATATCTGAATAGTCTCAAAGAATAATCTTTTGTAGCATCATTGAAATTTCATTTCAGATTAGACATTACCTTGAGACAGAATGCCAAGTAGACAAGAATGATCATGTTCAACAGCTTCTCTTTGCTTTTAATCAACACCACAAAGCTGCCAAAACTGCTACAGACATTTGTGCTGTGTACAAAGATGATGTCATTACTTACAGAATAGCCTAAAAATGGTTTTCCTGTTTCAAGTAAGGCAAGTTTGAACTCAGACTCTCTGTATTTTGGCTAATCCTGTTCAGTTTGATAAGAACCAATTGCACACTGATTAAAGAAAAACTGTGCTAAAAAATTGACTCGGAAGACAGAAAGCTCTAATGTATATCTGTCTATATTTCCCAAATGAGGTATTGTAATTATTTACATTATTTACATTGTTTGGACAGTGGTTCTCATATCTACTGTCATGTTTATGATGTTTCGGCTGTTGTATTCTCCAGACTTCTTCAGGTGACTGGAATTTCAAAATGAACCTTTTATTTCATCCACCATGTGCTGGATGTCTCAGCTATCTCACTTTAACTTAACTCTCTAAGTTTCTGTTCACCACTGCCATAACTAGGTATTGAAATCACAACTCTTTGGGTCAAGTCACTGGCTCCAACCAATGCTTTTACCCACTGTGCCATTGTCCTTGAGGACTCCTGGCCCAGTTAGTCATGTTTCTGACATTCATCATTTTCATTAAATGGGTAAGGTCCAGAAACATTATGCATGAGTGCTACAAACATAGACTGTGAGAAACAAGCACCAGTGTTCCGCCATGGCCACCAGAGTTGTATCCATACAAGCAAGTGATCTGCATTTGGTGCAATTGTCAAGGATTGATTTACTATAAAATGTTTCAAAACAACTATTTTCTTTTGATTTCTTGATATATTTGTTGTGTATGTTAGAGAATATTTATTCTTTTGGTAAAGATGAGATTGGGTAAAACCGGGGCGTATATTAATATTTGGATAATATTCAAGTATTATTATACTATTGATATACATATGTGTCCTGGTTTTTTCCCCAATCTCATGTTTCCTAGCAGAATCACTACTTTCCCAAGCCAATGTACACAACAAATATATCAAAAAATCAAAAGAAAACTGATTGAATCCACCAACACAACAATACAAACAATATTTCTACATATGAAAAAATTCACTTCAAACATGAAAAGTAAATGATGTAATTTTTCAGTTGACCCAATGAATATACAATAGCATTTCTAAATTCTTCTAGTTACTAACAATATCTTGTTTTTTTTGTTTATATATACTTTGCTTCAGTATCTGTAAATAGCACGATGTACTATGTACTATGTAAATAGTATACTTTGTTTCAATAAATTCATTTTGTTTTTTGCTTTGGATAAAATGTGTTGGCTAAAACTACTTGAAGTTTTCCTATTGTCTTCTAGTATCTTATCAAGTGATGGTGTTCAACACCATCAGTTGATAAGACACCAGACGTGTTGAAACAAAATGGCTATTTTTGTAGTGATTTTACAACATATTTGTGTTATAATTTTCGAATAAATAATTATATTTGCTCTACTCTGTAATGAGCACTCTTTTAAGAATAGCATTTGTTGGTTATTGAAATTTATTCCGTATACACTAATACTGTACTTGTATATATATATATATATATATATATATATATATATATATATATATATATATATATATGAAGTAGGATCAAATACAAATTAAATTAAATATGGATTAGAATCCAACAGAATAATGAACAAATAAGAAATATTTATAAATCTAACATGTTTCACTGTTATTAAAAATTCATCAAAGAATAAAATAAAGATAAAGAAAGAAATTATGGTATTTTTTATTTTTGTCTGTCTATATTTCTGAGATGAGGTATTGTAACTATTTACATTGTTCAGACTGTTGTCCTTAGCTTTGTTGTCATATTCATGTTTTGGCTATTGTATGTTCTGGCCTTCTTCAGGTGATTGAAATTTTGAATTGACCCCTTTATTCCATCCACCAGGGTAGATTGTTCTGGTTCCATGTGCCATGCCTCTTTTGGATATCTTAGTTTCAGTTTCAGTTATTTCACTTAGTAATTCAACTCTCCAAGTTTTTGTTTACCGCTGCTGTGGCTAGGTATTGAACTCACAACTCTTTGGGTCAAGTCACTGCATTACTTCAACCAACACTTTTATCCATTTATTTTTGTGTTGTTTGATTCAAATGCAAGCAATACAAAAATAAAAATACCAAAGACCTCCTTTCTACCATTACATGAGAAGAAAATGTATCCACTGGGCACAAAAAAAAACTAGTCGCAAGAGAACTATCTCTCTTGTTCTTTATTCCTCACCCTCTTTTAATCCCTGTTTCACCCTTTGTCCCACTCTTCAGCATTTTCTTTTTATTTCTGTCACACTTGACTCACTCTCCTTTATTCTCTTCATCATATCCCTCACTCTTTTTATTTTTATCACTCTCTTTGTTAAATCATCCTTCATTCTGTTTCTCTATCTGCTACCCTCTTTGCCACACTCTCTCTCCACTAAATCTTATTTTATCTTTCTTTCTCTTGTTCTCATAAAGAACTCTCATGGGATGTAAGGCAACAAAGTTTACTCATTGTTAATTCTTCCATTGCACAGGATGAACCTCCCATGCAAGTATAAAATGACATAAAGATAAGTTTATGGTAACAAGCCTCACTAATTCAGCTAATTTTAAATTGATAAACAGTGCATTCAGCTGACAACTCTTTGATTCTATCTATCTGTGGGGGTTAATCTCTCTCTCTCTCTCTCTCTCTATCTATCTATCTATCTATCTATCTATATATCTTTGTATCTCCATATTTGTATGTCTGTATCACAAATACTTGCAAACACCTTTCTTCTCTATGATAACTTACCAATAATCTCTAGCATTATTTCCTATCTATCTATCTATCTATCTATCTATCTATCTATCTATCTATCTATCTATCTATCTGCTATAGCACATACCTATGGACAATAATGGGTATGTCTCCATTCACACAAATACAGAAGTAAATACTGTATGTTGACCTGCAGTTGGACATTCCTTGTGGAATTCACCTGATTCATTTCTAGCAGTTGACTACTTCTACACACTGCTGGTGAATCTTATATGAGTTGTTCGTGTCCTAAGTATTATCATTCATTACCAATCTTTGTTTGATTATTCTATTCAGTAGCCTTCCCTAGGTTATAAAACTATCTATCTTATCCAATTCACATCTATTGGTCTATCTATCTCATCTTATTCACATCTATCTATCTATCTATCTATCTATCTATCTATCTATCTATCTCAATCTGTTCATATCTATCTATGAGGATTGGTCAAAAAGTAATGTCTATTCTTCTATATTTAATACTAAAAACACACAAAATATATCAAAATTAACACAAAAGACTCAGGATTCCAAATGTCCTGCTTAATTGCCATATTTCAGATTTGAATGAGTGCCTATATACCTGCCTTGTTACCTTCTTGACTCTTTTCTTAGCCATCAGCAATTTTTCTCTTTTCATCATATCATCTGCTGTGTAGCAGAGTTTCAGAAATTTGTGGCCAACAACTATACTCTGACCCTTCATGGACTACTCTGAATTCTGGGAACATACTTTAGGTAACCAAGAGACTACCTAAAATTGTAAGCACAATCTTAGCTCACCTGACGGCTTTCCCAGATATTTACAATAGTGATTCTTTGTCAGTTCTAATAAAAACATTACTTTACTGTGCCTATATAATGTTCTTCCTTTCCATAAACATTCACTAACCTCCTCTGATGTTTGTAGTACTTTCCCTTTCCAAAAACAGAAATTCTATGGTAGTCTTTTGCTTTTTACACTGCTTTCAGAGGGGCAACCATTTTGAAAGTGTATTATATGCAGGAGAAAAGATAACAACACAGATTTTTCTTCTGGGTTTCTAGACATTCTATGTATAACCACCCCTAGTCAAAAAACAAAAACAAAAACAAAAAAAAGACCTAGGAATTCTGGCTAATACTTTTAAAATTAGATTTAAAATTAGAATAGGATTACTTTTTGACTCATCCATATACCTCAATCTGTTCATATCTATCAAGCTTATAGAACAGACACACTCCCATACATACAGAGCACTCTCTATATATAAATTCACACATACATATTACAATCAGCAAGTGAGTGATGATCAGACATATACTTTATTTGCCTATAAATAAATAACCTATTCTCACCACTGATAATTCCTTGTTATTGAATAAATCCAAGTATGCAAATTTTTTATGATGTTGTATTCTTTTCTGTATTAAACAGGTATGCAAACAACATTCTTGGCAAGCATATCACTGGCATTGAATTAAACATTAATATCATCTATTAATATTGATTAATAAGTTGTAGAAGATGGTTGATGTATAAATTAGTTCTGTCATGTGATCCATGAGTAAAGGGTCTGGTCAAATAAATCTTCTGTATTACCAAATAGAATCTTATAAAAAAGCTAAAAAACCTTGACAGAAAAAATATTTTAATTTATTTCTCTTATACAGATTGAATTTTCATGTTGGCAATTTTTGCCAACATGAAAATTACAAATTGGACAAGGAGAAAAAATTTAAATATCTGGGAAATTTTTTAATAGAGAACATAAAGTGTGATACTGAAATCCAAAGGCAAATTTGAATATTGAAAAGCTGAGGAAAGAATTTTAGTAACAAAATTTTTGTTAAAAACAAAGAAAAGTGTACACAACAGTTATATAGTATCAATCCTCCTATAGAGCCTCCTATAATGCCAGACAATCTTATGCCAGATGAAAAAGATGTTAGCCACTCAAGGTAGAGGATTACATTAGGAGGTAATTTGTGCGGGTAGGAGTGGAAGATAATCGTTAACCTTAGCCTTGAACATGATAAGATTGTAGAGATTGGGGAAACATCCTTTTAAGAGCTTGTTACACAGAGTAGCGGTTCCCGGAAATAAGCTGTTAGAGTGGAACTTACTTCTCACTGATGGAATAAGGAGGGAATATGGCTGGTTTGTAAGTGGTGTTGTGTGTCCTTGTCATAAAGATTTGAAATGGTGGGACCAGAGACTCAGATCAACATAAATATGGATGTACAGAAGTATGCTAAGAATATTATGGACCAGACAGGTGAGCAACAATGAGGTTTTAGAAAAAATGAAAACAAATAAGACACTTATACTTAAAATCAGGAAAAAGTAGTTGAAATTTCTAAGATAATGAGGAAAGAGGGCTTGGAAAATTTGTTACTCACATGGAAATTTAAATGCAAGAGAGACAGGAAAACAACACATAACCTCCCTAGAAAATGAGTGGTAGAACAAGATTTAGGAGAGACAACAAAAAGACAAAATGTATTAAGAACTACAAGAGAGAGGAAATTGTGGAGCACCATGATCGCCTACATCCGGAGTGGACACGGCACATAAAGAATATTTTTTGCCAAAGAGGAAATTAGTAAATCTCCATCAAACTTTATTTACAAGATTTTCAGTTTTCTAATGTCATGTTATTATTCTTCTTCAAATCTTTCATACTTTTATATCCAACATATTATTTAAAATAAATAAAAAACAAACACAAACTTTTATCTTTGATGAGTTTATTGTTCAAATGCTTTAAGCATTCATTTCATCTGGAGAAAGTCAATTATTTCTTATTTGTACTTTGATGCTTTTAGTTTCATACTGACGTTTTTTGTTTTTTTTTTGTTTTTTAAGTCTTTTTTTTCGCTAAAAGTAATCCAAAAGTTCCCATATTCCCCAATGGGAAAAAAGTTTTGAAAAATTTATGACCCTTCTTCCTTAAATATTTTTCAGGCAATATTATGAATTCATTTTTTACTCTGAGTTGATATCATTTGAATCACAAATTCCCCAGTTTCAATACTCCATATCTGTTCTCTTTTCATCCTCTCTGTTTTTTCCTTAGAGGTGAAAGTCGCTCATATTCATGCTACCAAGATATTGAAGCTAAACTTTTATTCTAGACAGATGACTGAGGTGAAGAGAATATTTAACAAGAATTTTTTTCTTTTTATCAAGGTTTTTTTTCTTTTTGTAATAAAGATAATCAACTCAGTAGATTGATTAGACTTTGTTTTTTACAATTTCAACTGAAGTCTTGTTTCTAGCAGAAAACTGTTCTATCACACAATAAACAAATGAAATGCTAAGAAAATGTTTTTAACTTATTGTTTCTAACACCAGTAAAAAAAAGTAGAGTTATTTGTCATTATTTGACTTTCTCATTATTTCTATATTAATTGTATGTCATTATTTAGTTGAGTCATTATTTATGCATTATTTTGCTGATTGACTAATTGATTGGTTTTGTGGTACACCAAAATCGTTTTTGTGTTAAAATTTAAAAGTGTAAAACGGATAGATTAAAATATTCAGTTTTGTCAGAGAGTAAAAAGATTTTCTTTATTTAGATTATTGTGTAAAATATATATTTTGAAACTTTGAATATAGTAATTTGTATAAATCAGATATTTCATATTAAAAATATGTGGAGCATTTTTTTTTTACTGATGCTGAAATTGTTTTTTTTAAAGAATAAATTAATATAGAGATAAAAAGCATTTATTGAATAAAGTTTTTTGTCTAAAAATTGTATAAACTATATTTTGAAGACTGATTATTTTTATATAATTTATTTATCATTATTTGATTATTTTATGACATACTATCTATAAACCATTTGTTTGTCAATATGTCTTTCATATATTATTTAAATATCATTTGTCTTTCATTATCTATCTGCCACATTTATCTGTATACTGTAGTGAGTGCAAAATAATAATAATTCCTTTTGCTCACTCTCTTCAAGTTCAGAAGATTGAGGAATTTGCAAGCCTATGTGAAATTTTCTTTGGACCAATGAAAACCTTGCCTTCACAGAAATTAGCCGGTCAGCCAAGAAGATGGAAGAAATAAATTTGCAAGCCTACACGAAAGTCATTTTGATATAATGAGAGAAGAGTTTTTTGAAGTCATATAAAAGGCTTTGATTTCTGTCCATTGTGACCAGTGTTGAAGTTCTCGCCAGTGTAAAATTACTTGTCAATTATATTATTGGCCTCTAGCTAGCATGTGGGACTTCAGATAACTTTTCTCAACAATCCAAGAAGGCTAAATATTTCAAAATATCTCTCTTTGTCTACTATGCAACCATATACTCCTTTGGTGAACAATGAACTCTCTTGCCTTTGTTTTAAACATTTTTTTTTAATATTATTTTGTGTCAGATCATTTAATATGTTGTATGAACATTGCCTCTTAATGACAATCCATTAAAACTACGGACTTTAACAATTCTGATTTATTTTCCTGAAACAAGCTACTGACACTACTTCAAGCATGTAAATTTGTTAATAAATTACCTTACTTGTTTTGTCTTCTTGTTATTATTGACCTTCACTAATGACATGAGTAAATCTACTGCTCATTTTGACCTGTAAGCCCCACAGGACTATAATACCATTTTCATTATTTAGCTGTCACATTATTTTTTATAATATTGTTCACTCAATATAAGGCTCAAGAGCCAATCAAACTAGAGGGTTACAAATTGAGGCTGTTGTAAGGTGCAAAAGGAGAAAGTAAGTAGCATATATTAGGAGAATACAAAGATAAATAATGTTTGATCCGAGACTTGATGAGGTTAAGAGTGTAGTGATCAGAGAAGCATCCTCTTGGGAGTAATTTCCACAAAGTAACAGTTTTGAGAAAGAACAGGTAAAAATTGAATTTCCTTCTTAAGAATGATATACAAAGGGAATGAAGGTGAGTAAAACCTGTTTATGTGGCATGAACGGTGCTAGCTATAAAGGTCTGAACTAGTGCAACTAAGAAATGTAGCTTATTTGAACATCTGCCATAGAAATAATTATAGATTACTGAGAAGCAAGTAACATTTGGTCTATGAGAAATGGATTCCAAACTGGAGAATAAGTCATTACCCACAAGGGTGATAATTTAAAAAATGACTAAAGGAAAATTGAAGTTCCTGGCAATGAACATGTTTGAATCTGAAATATAGAAATCTTTTAAATTCTGTGAAAATTGTACAGTTTCAGCATAGATATGGCAGCAATGCTCCATTTTTTATCTGATTTGACTGTTTTTTTTAATAAGTTCATCCCAAGCAAAGTGATAATGTCACTAAGTTGCAAGGGGTTACTGTGTGTGAAACAGAATGAAAAGGCTTTAGAAGGAACCGGAAATATCATCCTAAACAGGGATAAACATGTACTCCTGTTCAAAAGACCATCAAGGCAAGGAATAAAACCTCTCATCAAGACAAGAA